CCCCCTCAACCACCCGCCTCTCTCCTCCCTCACCCACCCCTCTCTCTCCTCCCTCACCCACCCCTCTCTCTCCTCCCCCTCACCCACCCCCCTCTCCTCCCCCTCACCCGCTCACCTGTCTCCTCCCACTTACCCAGCTTTCCCTCCTGCCTCCATCTGATTGGCCAGCGTCACGTCGTTGGACCACACGTCGAACTGCCACTTGCGCAATCCCAGCACCCCGCAGTGCACACGGCCGCTGTGGATCCCCACGCGCATGTTCACATTGACCCCCGTGACCTCGCGCACCAGCCTGGGACAGGCACAACCATCCTCAGCAGAAGCACACAGCTGCACTACGCACATTTTGCATGGTCTACCATGGGTTTTTTGTTCCTGCTGTCTACATTGTGCGGTGTTGCCTGTTGTACTGTGTATGTCCCGAGAGATCAGCGCGATTAAGGATTCCAGTGTACAAGTATATGGTAATAAACTATAGTGTATTATTATACTGTATCGTATACATGGGGCACTTCCTTCTGCAGAGTGGGCTTCACGATGACAAGACCACACAAATAGAGAGGCGGCTCATTTGGTCACAGCGGCGTCATTACAGATGGAATTGAGGGAACGAGCTGGCGCCTCTTGAACCGGCACACAGGGGACTCACGAGATCGCCTCGATCATGTCCACGCCCATCTCCACGCAGCAGTGGGCGTGGTCCGCGCGCGGCTCGGGAAGCCCGGACACACAGTAATAGCAGTCTCCGAGGATCTTGATCCGCAGGCAGTGATTCTCCTGGAGAGGGGGAGAGGGGGAGAGGGGGAGAGAGGGAGGGTGTGACCGTGCAACCCTCCCACAGTACAGGCTGTTGAGACCACGACCAGGCAGCTTCCAGAAATGAAGCCGTCCACCATCAGAAAGCCCGACAGGCCGCAGTTTATTTAAATAGCAGAGAGCAGCCAGCTGCCCCTCAACAGAGCCACCTTCCTCTTTCAGCTCCCCACTGAAGACTGACCCCCAGAGCTTGAGCTCTGCCTTTTATCACAGAGGCCCCTCCCCTTGTGAACACCCACAACCTCAATAAAAACACAAACACCCACTGCCAAAGTCAGTTCCATTTCCCATTTCCCCGAATAATGTGTTAGTCCCTGAATGAAACACGGGGGTTATTATTTTAAAACACTATTAGTCAACTAAAGCAGAATTAGTTGGAGTCACATTTTAGTTGTGGCTGTTTCATTTATTTGTATAATTAAGTGTTATAAGTATAAAATAATAAATTATAATTAAATTAAGGTTTTGGTTTTATTCATTTTTAAAATCCATTGAGTTCAAGAGGATTTCTCGAGTTTATTTCCACTTCGTCTTGTCATACTAAGTTTTACCCCTATTTATTTTGCAATTAAGACTGTTCTAATTGGACAGGCTTATATAAAGCGGCAACTTCTTATTTAGCATGCCAAGCAAGAAACAAGCACACAAGATGGGCTTGGAACCACAACTGTCATTCTAAGAACATATTTCACACATCTAAGAGGATTGGATCAAAAAGCACAAGTCTATATCAATATCAGTGTATTGATCCTCCTGTAGAGGGCGCTCC